CTTTCGAACAGAGACTAAATTCAAAACTTCCCAGAAACACTTAGCACTTCAAGTTTTCATTAAATATTTACAGGGCTGGAAGTAGCAACATGCTAATTGTCAGAATGTGGTTCAAATTTCTGTGGTAGTTAAACTAAAAATATATATGAATACTTTATGCCAGTGGAAATTACAAATTATTATGGTAAAGTCTGCAGACAAGCCTAGTGGCCCACCAGGCTGGAGTCTACCTCGGTTTCAGTAGGCTGAAAAAAATGCAAATATCTATACTCATCCCCCTGGATGGGATGCTAGTCCATTGCAGGGTTACCCCCAGCACAAGGCCGCAAATAATATTTTTGTTATAAGCAGGTCACTTGTCAGGTCAGAGACCAGACATGACCTGACAAGGACACAGTCTGGTCGGACAAAAAAAATCCCATTGAAAGAGTGAGAATGTGCACAATACTAATCACAGACAGGAGATGTAACAGTTTTATCACTAATCAAGCTTCTGTGACCTTGCTCTTTAAGTAGGATAAAAGTTCAACTTCAATGAAAAGTTCCCGGTCAGAGTGACTGACCAGACTAATTTTTCGCCAGTGAAAACCTCAATTTTGCCAGACAAATGTCCAATGACTGGCTGTTGTTTGCAGCCTTGCAGAACCTATTGATACACAAGGGTAAAGAGAGGCACTGTGAGAGTGAATTGTCTTTCCAATAACATAACACAATGGCCCTGGCTGGGGTTCGAATCCAGACCACCCAATCCAGAGTAAAGCGTACTAATGGTGAGGCCACCATGCCTCTAGCAAACAAGTTATTAAGGGATATGTTTAATTACTGTTTTGCACTCTGTTTATAAGCAGCCAGGGTTCTGGCCAATCAAAATCTGTTTTTTTCTACCAGAAAATGATCTGATTATGTTGTGCTACTTTGAGTTCTGTAATAATTACAGTGTAGAATAGCATTTCTCACTGAAGTGGCAATAAAATATAAACATTTGGGTGTGGAGAATATAGTGAGTATTCTCTACATGTAAGTTATGATAAATTTTGCAGTGATCAGAAATGATAACTTTTCACCAGGTTGATGCCTTAAGCATCTCTCATGCAATCAACTACAGCCAAAAAAGAATAGGAATTTGCAACTGGTTTATCGTTGTGGTTCTTCACATGCAGTTGCTCATAACCGCTTGCATTTTTTTTACCAAAAACTGTGGGTATGTTTGAATTTCTGGGCAGTAAAGGTGATAGAAGAGGGGAACAGGTTATTTTCTCTGACTTTAAGTATCATCTGCAAAAAATGCTTACAAGTAAAAATTTATTACAATTTAATGTATCAAAAATAATCTTACGGTATTTTACAGCATACACAGCCTAACAGTTGGAGGTCAAAATGTACAGCAGAGCTCTTACAAAGGTTTTTAAATAACATGTTTTTAGTATCACTTGTATTTTAAATAGAAACTATGATCTGCAAGATTCGCAGTTAATAAGAAATCACATAGGTCAATAGTTGAACTTAGCTGGTTTCTGAAGCAAAAAAATAAATTGACTTTTTTATTACATGTATGATATAACTTCAGTTTATTTGACGATGAGCCTCTAGCTCAGGATATTGGGTAACAACCTTTCCTATTGTCACTGGTCATTAGAAAATAATTTGTATTGATTCAGAAATTATAATAATAATAATAATAATAATAATAATAATAATTATTATTATTATTATAACTTTCATGAGAGATGTATACCAGCAGTGTGCAGAATACAGTCGAACCTCCGGTTGCGACCACCTCTCGTAAGCAACCACCTCTCCTCAGCGACCAGTTTTCCAAAATACCACACATTTCCAAGTCAAATCACTATATTTGGAACCTCTTGTAAGCGACCACTTCTCGTAAGCGACCGTGACCACTTTTAGAGCTAAAAGTTTTCAACCTCTCGTAAGCGACCATTTGACAGACAACAGAGCAGAAATTGGATAATAAAGGTGTTGTAACATTATTGCATTCATGGACAGTAAAAGAGACGGAAATGTCTCAATGGGAAATAAGGATTTTTTCTTAAAATTGACTTTTTACATAAATAAAACTTTTAAAACATGAGGTTATTCTCTGCAGTTACCATATGCTAATGAAGAAAACTTTTGGCTCAATATGGTCTAAGCTCTTGTAAGCGACCACCTCCCTTAAGCGACCACCTAGGCTTGACATTTTAGGTGGTCGCTTACAGGAGGTTCGACTGTATGCATTTTGATTTTAAGGCATAAAACATTACCTGAATAGCTCATTTGAGTTGATCTGATGATAACAAGATAAGCACAAAAATGACCATACACAGGGTGGTGTATTTAAAGCAGCCCTTGGTGACTTCTGTTTGCCTTGGCAACAATGAAATCTTAGTTTCTCAACAAAACTTGATGCTAGTAGCCCTGTATTACATAAGTTATCTAGAGCTGTTACTCCCTTTATTTTTTCTTAGAGCACAGCCTAGAATCAAGTAGCAAACTAGGTCAG